ACACACACACTGCTTACCGTTAAGAGCAGCAGCCACACGTTACCCCTCCCTGGCAGCCTGAAGTGGACTCACAACCCTCTTGCTTTACTGGAGGCTGTTTCGCATCCTCTTGCTGCTGACACGCAGCCTTTGCTCCTTCCTCTGCAAGAACAAATACCACAGGCACAGATCTGGTGCACTGCTCCCTTTGCTTCACCCAGATGGCAACTGGGGAGCAAAGAACAAGAGCTGGGAGATTTCCTTTCTACTTGGTGCTAAAGTAAGAAGGATTTTGCCTGCTATGTCACTGTGTTACCATTTATCTGCTCTGGCCTCAGCTCCTATGTCCCATGCTCAGCATTACTCCAGCATTTCCTATTAGACCCCATCCCAGACTGGTTTGGGTTGGAAAGGACCTTAAAGCTCATCCAGTTCCAACCCCTGCCACGGGCAGGGACACCTTCCACTAGAGCAGCTTGCTCCAAGCCCCTGTGTCCAACCTGGCCTTGAACACTGCCAGGGATGGGGCAGCCACAGCTTCTCTGGGCACCCTGTGCCAGCGCCTCAGCACCCTCACAGGGAAGAGCTTCTTCCCAATGTCTAATACGACAGCAACAGGCTCAACTTCAAGGTGCTAAATACACGTGCTCTGCTCCTTCTGCCTCTTCTGTGTGCCTGGAGCTGTGTCTGGATCCTGCTCACAGACCTCTCTCTGCGATGCCGATTTCTTCAGGCAAAAGCAGAGATTTCCCTTTGTCCACCTGATTCCAGGGGTGGAACCTTCAGTGAAAACCCAGATTACGAGCCCTTTCCTTACCCATAAGCACTCAGCTGCTGCCACTCAGACCTCACCCACCTCTGCAAACACCTCCTTTGGAAAGCATCGGGCTCTGCTATTTAAAGGCAGCTACGGTGGAATACAGACTTCTTGTTTGCTTGCTTTTTAAGAAGAGCCAGATGAGGAGGTGTTCGAGCTGACATTGACCTTTCCAAAACAGCCCAACTGTTAATAATGTTTAAACTGAGAGGGGAAAACCCTCCCTCACTACCTGACATAAGAAACAGGGGAGACAACAGGGAATTCTAATGGGAAGCCTAGCAAAAAAGCTTTCTGTCCATTAAGGTCTACAGGACCTCATCTCCTTGCCCTGCTCTCCTTCATCCACTAAACCCTTTGCAGAATTAAACCCTTATCTCATAATATGATAAACCTGTGGGCTACTTTGCAAGGAGATGATGCCCTGGGTTAAGGAATGTGCAAATCTCTTGATATCAGGTTTTAAGGAACAGAGAAGGGCTCCAACATATGCCAAATCCCTTCCAGCCCTGCTATTTCTATACCAGCAACAGGTGAACATGAAGAAGAACCTGCTCAGCTTGCAGTTTACTTGGGAATACGATCCACTTCTTGCAGCTCCAATGCCAGCGTTCCCAGATGAGGACCTGCAGTTTGATCTGTGCAGTCGACCTTCCCTTTGGGATAGTGGGAACAGCTGCTCTGCCCCCGTCCACCTGCGGGACTTGCAAAGGAAGGAGGGATGGATCCTGTGTAGGGGGTTCAGAGAGTAACTGTGCTTTCCTATGATGGCTGAACAGGGAAAACTTGCCTCCGGATCAGCCTGGAGAAGAGAAGGCTCCTGAAGGGGAGACCTCAGAGCAGCTCCAGTGCCTAAAGGGGCTGCAGGAAAGCTGGAGAGGGGCTTTGGACAAGGGCCTGTAGGGCCAGGCCGAGGGGAATGGCTTTAACCTGCCAGAGGGGAGACTGAGATGAGCTCTTAGGCAGAAGCTCTTCCCTGTGAGGGTGCTGAGGCGCTGGCACAGGGTGCCCAGAGAAGCTGTGGCTGCCCCATCCCTGGCAGTGTTCAAGGCCAGGTTGGACACAGGGGCTTGGAGCAAGCTGCTCTAGTGGAAGGTGTCCCTGCCCATGGCAGGGGTTGGAACTGGATGAGCCTTAAGGTCCCTTCCAACCCAAACCAGTCTGGGATCCTGTGAGGGTAGCCCACAGGTGAAGGGTTGTACAGGATCTAGTACAAGGTGCATTGGAACAACCCTCACCTCCCAAGAGCAGCAATGCCATGGGGACACATGGAAATGGTTGTCCAAAAGGTGCCCTCAGCAGCCTTAACACCACCACTGGGCTATCAGCTGACTTAGGTCCTCCCCTGCCTATGGCACAAGGGCTTTTAGATGTCATTGGAAGGCAGTTCAAAGTATTTGGGGCACAAACCCAATGGGAAACAGACCTTTTAGGGATACTTTCAAACCATCCCTTCTTCTCAAGGTCAGATGATGCTTCACACAGAACAAGGGTTAACCTGGCGTGGGGTGGCTGCAGCGCTACAATTCAAGGTGCTCCCTCCAGCACAAGGCTGTGTTTTCTTCCCAGCAGTTACTGGCTTGAGAGCCAATCAAACTAATTACCTTAGTGATTATCAAACCAATTTCCTCTCTAATTACCAAGTGTCTGTGTTTACCCTGACCTGACATCCTTGCAGAGGAGCCCTGGCTCAGTACCCCATGCTCTATGGGAACCTGCCTCTTCTGCACTGACTCAAAGACCCAGGTCCTCTTCACACCTTGGTCCTCCTCACACACTGTTCAGGATGTCTCTCTCTTCCTCAGAAGCTGATCTAGTTCCTTTGGCTGGTGAATGCAAGTGTGCATTGCAGTGGTGGTTTTGCTGTCAGGCAGACTACAGAAGGGCACACCAGACTATGGGAGGGCACATTACCTTTGCTGCACATGGGTTTCTCTGGTAAGAATATCCTGAGCATGGTGCTGTGGGAGCAGAGCCACAGTGATGACAAAACTAGAGGTGTACTTGACTCCAGGCACTATTCAATTCCTTTCTCTCTTGATGAGTACAGCAGCTGAGAGGAAACTGGAAGGTGACTTGAGATGACAGATGTTCCTCTCCAACACAGAGCTGAAACCAGCAGGGTGTTCATACAGCAAAACCCATCACTGTCAACTGACCTCACCTCCCCAGGCTTACTCCTTTGCATTTTCCAGACCTTTACTTGAAAGTTGCCTTGGGCTCTCACAAGCCAGGGTCTGACAGACACTCACCACTCTCCTAAACCTCCATGTGACAGTGGGTGCTTAGCCCTGAAAATCCCAGACTGGTTTGGGCTGAAGGGACCTTAAAGCTCCTCCAGTTCCAACCCCTGCCACGGGCAGGGACACCTTCCACCAGAGCAGCTTGCTCCAAGCCCCTGTGTCCAACCTGCCCTTGAACACTGCCAGGGATGGGGCAGCCACAGCTTCTCTGGGCACCCTGTGCCAGCGCCTCAGCACCCTCACAGGGAAGAGCTTCTGCCTAAGAGCTCATCTCAGTCTCCCCCCTGGCAGGTTAAAGCCATTCCCCTTGGCCTGGCCCTACAGGCCCTTGTCCAAATGTCTCTTTTAGGCAGACCTAGTGCTTCCTTGAACAGAAGTGTCCAACATCACCTCTCAAGTCTGTTTCCAAAGAACAGTGTCCTGCTTGAAGTCCAGACCAGCAAGAAGAAAGAAGTCAAAGACTGATGAAGGGACAAGGCTGCAGGTACTCAAAAGGAGGGGATGGGAAAGGTGGAAGAGGTGGCAAGCAGAACCTCATCCCAGAAACATTCACAGAATCACAGAATCAACCAGGTTGGAAAAGCCCTTTAAGCTCACCCAGTCCAACCTTAACCCAGCACTGCCAAGGCCACCACTAACCCATGGCACTGAGGCCTCGTCTCCACGCTGTGTGAACACTTGCAGGGACGGTGACTGCAGCCCTGCCCTGGGCAGCCTGTTCCAATGCCTGAGCACCCTCTGGGGAAGGAATTGTTCCTCAGCTCCAGTCTATTCAGGGCTGCTGCTCTACTTTAAAGGCAAAAGATGTCCACAACAGGGACAGTTTTAAAGTCTATACCCTGTTTGTTGCAATCAGCCCCCCCCCCAAGCTCAAGCAGCACATGCCAGAGATGCTACCATTTATGATACAGAAGACGTTTAAAGAACACAACATCTCAAATGAAGCCCAAAACATAGCTGGAACAAAGAAAGCAAGACTGACTCTCATTGCTCAAGGCTGTCAGGATGGGAAACCAATAAACATTTGGCAGTAACACAGACCTTCCCTCCCGACATAGCTCTTCTCTTGATTTTAGAGTCATCTGGCCTGAAAAACATCTGCTTTTCCTCTGTGCTGCATTGTGCTGCCAATTCTGAGGTTGGCAAGGATGGATCTGCCAACTCCTTGGCTCTCTGTTACAAAAGAGAACATTATGAAGGAGAATTTGTGAGTTAGCTGATTTGTAAACATTACAGCAAGCCACCATGTAAACACGTTGCTTGTGTCCTTATTATTTCTCTCAAGCAGTTTACCTGGCACCTGATGCTGAACTCCAGGATCTTCCTCTCCACCTGATATTACTGTTGCTTCTTCTCGTAGGAATAAAACATAACCCTTAATTAAACAGTGCTCAGAAAGCATCTTGATAAAGAGAATAGAAGAGTCAGTGGCAATATTGTGAACACAGCCTAAATGAGATCCACAGGTGCACTCACAGTTGCATAGTGGGATGCAGTTCAACATGGCCAATTAAAGACACAGAAGAGGTAAATAACTAGCAGAAGGCACATTGCTTATTTGACACTGATGCTGTTACTATTGCAGATCAAATCTTTCCTAAGGTTGCTGGGTAAGATGAACGCAGCAGTTGGTGTCTGAACAAACCCAGTTAAATCACACTGGGTACTTGCGTGAAGATGCTTTGCAGGTTTAGGCACTCCATGCCCTTTCATTCACTTCTCAAGGAAGGAAACTTGTGGTGCATGAATCACAGCACACCATCACGTGGGATCCTTTTAGGTTGCTGTGATGGAAAACAGTTCTATGTCAGTCCTGTTCCTGAAACCGAGGTTGGTTATGCAGAGAAGTTCTATGCTCTAAAGCTTTGTCAATAACATCTGCTGGTGAAACATGATTGACACAGCAGAGGGAACACCATCCGCCCCTGAGGAATGGAAAGAGAGACAGACTGAACCATCAATCTTGTGCATAAAATACATTTATTGTTGGTACAGAGTGAGGCATATTCGTCAGTACTTGATAGGACCGAGGAGCACAACAGAATCATTTCATGTAAATAAAGGCCATGATACATCTTAAGTGTTGGATCATTAACATCATTCCAGCAGAAGGCCCGGAGAGAGACTTCATTTAGTGACATGATTTGTGAAATAAGTTAAAGCACAATTTAAGTCATGACACATGGTAAGGAAAACAGGCTGTACAGTGAGGAGCAGGGGCTGACCTGCTCACAAAGTGCCAGCCCATCCCGGCACACCAAGTGTTACATACCTGGGCCTTTGACAGGGAGTTTTAGAGGAGATTCTACAATGAAATAGCAGCATTTGTAGGATATTTCCCCTTTCTCAGGTCGGTGAAAGGTTCTTTTCTTTTCCTTCCTTCAATCACCACTAAGTGGATTTTACTAAGACTGAACAGTATCTTCGGCTCTGTGATTTCTGATGCAATAAGATACAGGTCTTGGCTTTTCAAATGGTCACACTGATTGAGCCGTGATGGCTGCTGCTCTTGAAATGGCTCTTCCAGTTCTTCTCTTTATTGGCCTGCCCTGTAAATGGGCTGTCATATCATTCTCGGGGTAAAAAATGCTCTTCTGCTGAAATTAGTTGATGGTCTTGTGCTTGATTTGGACAATGCCTTTATCCTCCTCTCCCAAGCATGCTCTGCTAAGAAAATGGTCAGGGAAGGGGGAAGAGAGAGGGAGAAACACGTTTTCAGTAACTCAGACTTATTCCAGAGACTCCCTGAAGTTTGGCTACAATTCTTACTTAGGATTTGCAATTGCTTAAATAAAAATGCAGAAAAAGAAACACTGTCAACACACACATCATCACAGAGACGAGTCACGGGAGCAGAAGGAAGCTATCTGAGGAATCCACAAGCCAGCCATTTGGAGACTTGCAGTAATGATTCCTCTTCATACATCCTAATGCTGTCATGGCTCTAGTGCCATTGGCTATTAAGGAAATTAAAACTCCTGACCTTACAATAAGATAAATCCCATTCCCAGCAATTACATACTCAAGGAAATATACCCTGAAGTCATAGAACGCTAAGTATCCCCCCTGCCTACCTCCTTCCTGTGTTCTGAGTCATACCCAGAAGCTCAATAGTCTGAACATGTTGCACTGACCTTGTCCTTCATTCATCACCTCCCTCCCATGCACAATTGGCCACCGAGAGCTAAAGTAAAGATCTGACAAGTGGTCCAAGAGTTATTCTTCCTGCCACACCAGACAGCTCTGCCATTAAGGTCTTGACTCCAGACAGGCCCTGGCCTCTACTGTGAACATGCAGACTTGCAAGGATAATATGTAAGGCTCTACTAAGAGCTTCCTACTGCCATGATCTAGAAATAAAGGGTCTGCAGAATGGGGCACAGGTATGGATACTGCTTGTCTAGATCAGTAAGGAGAACAGGCAGCGAGATGTAACAGGACACTGATAAGCTAAGCAGTAAAAGCATGCTGGGGGCAATCTCTGCTCACTAGAGGACTGTGACATTGACTGAGGCAATCAGCATAGAATCAGAGAATCCCAGACTGATTTGGGCTGAAGGGACCTTAAAGCTCACCCAGTTCCAACCCCTGCCATGGGCAGGGACACCTTCCACTAGAGCAGCTTGCTCCAAGCCCCTGTGTCCAACCTGGCCTTGAGCACTGCCAGGGATGGGGCAGCCACAGCTTCTCTGGGCACCCTGTGCCAGTGCCTCAGCACCCTCACAGGGAAGAGCTTCTGCCTAAGAGCTCATCTCAGTCTCCCCTCTGGCAGGTTAAAGCCATTCCCCTTGGCCTGTCCCTACATCCCTTGTCCCAAGCCCCTCTCCAGCTTTCCTGCAGCCCCTTTAGGCACTGGAGCTGCTCTCAGGTCTCCCCTTCAGGAGCCTTCTCTTCTCCAGGCTGACCCAGCCCAGCTCTCTCAGCCTGGCTCCAGAGCAGAGCTGCTTCAGCAATCTATTGTTCTCCCTACAAAATCCATAAAATGGGGAAGACGTAAGAGTCTCCTTACAAGAAAGGGTAGGAAGGGATTTGCTAATGTCAGGAGCAAACACAAATGTAAACCTTGAAGTCTTACAGGAGACCTAAAAAGGCTGATCGGGGTATCTGAGCATCAGTATCTGGCCAGACAGGGCACAGTCTTGCAGCCTGGACTGAATTGTCAGTGTCACAGAAGTTAGGATTTAGGAAAATGAGAAATAAAGGGACTAAAAAGCCTGTTCTCAGGTATGTCTTCAACCAAATCCTCCCAGTACTACTAAAAATAACCCAGTGAACCATTCAAGTAGATCAAGGAGTGTTCCTACAAGGATGAAGAGGTGCGCCAAGGAGCAGGGAAGCGTGCACATGAAAAGATGGTGAATGTCCTTGTGATCACAACATTCCCCAGAATCCACGGAGGAGAAGTACATGCTGACAGAATGGAAGGAGCTGGTTTTATGCTCCCCAGGTGCCATTACAGAGAAAAATAAGGGAAACTTGTATTAGTTAACAAAATCTCCAAGCTCAGTTTGACAGCATCCCCATGGAGATTGCAGTAAAACTGATGAAGGCTACTTTACCTTTACTCTTTGTGCAGTGCTATTACAGAACTTGCTCGAAGCCATCACTGGGTTGAATATTAACTTTACATAAATTTAACACTGCAGAAGTTAAGGTAGGAAATTCCCCAAAGATCTGAGTAAAATTGTGTTACTTTTATTTAGTATCCTAAGGAAAGAAATCACAGGGATTTGTTCATCACACACATATTTCTCCCCACAAAATTTGATCTTCAGACAAATGGGAGTCTTCTAGGGCTTTGGTTTTCTCTACATGTTTGTGTTTTTTTAGTGTTCTTTGCTGACTCCTGATCACATAAGAACTTAATGTATTTTAAACATTTTCCTTGTGTTTTTTCACACCACCAATGAAGGGAACCTGGTCTGACTCTTCCATAATAAACTTCCTTCAATAAATGCAGTGCTGCATGGAGATGTCAGAGCAGCTTCCAGTATCTGAAGGGGGCCTACAAAGGATGCTGGAGAGGGACTCTTCATCAGGGACTGCAGTGATAGGACAAGGGGTGATGGGTTCAAACTGAAACAGGGGAAGACCTGGAAAAGAGAAGACTGCCTGGAGACCTCATAGCAGCCTTCCAGTATCTGAAGGGGGCCTACAGGGATGCTGGGGAGGGACTCTTCATTAGGAACTGCAGTGACAGGACAAGGGGTAATGGGTTAAAACTTGAACAGGGGTAGTTTAGACTGGATATATGGAAGAAGTTCTTTACTGTGAGGGTGGTGAGGCACTGGAATGGGTTGCCCAGGGAGGTTGTGAATGCTCCATCCCTGGCGGTGTTCGGGATCAGATTGGACAAAGCCTTGGGTGAGATGGTTTTAGTGTGAGGTGTCCCTGCCCATGGCAGGGGGGTTGGAACTGGATGATTTCAAGGTCCTTTCCAACCCAAACCATTCTATGATTCTATGATTCTAAGATGTTGCATGTACTGAGCCTGACTCCAGAGAAGAGGTTTCTGTTCATCTTGTATCAGAAGTGCTTTCTTCCCGGAGCAGAGTGAAGCATCTGGAATACAGCAGCATGACTGCAGCCTGTGAGGGGAGCAGAGGTCACAGCCCCTTCTTGTGCTCTTTGTCACACAGGAGGTAGGGTGGTGGAGCAGTGCTGCTTTTGCTTTTGTCCCAGGACACTTTAAATAAACCAGCCCACAGCACATAAAGTATAACTGTGCTGTGGCTTTGGCAGTTGCGTTCTTGTCTGTGCATCACTCCAACCAGTGCACTGCAAGCAGGGATGCTTGCTGTGCAGGGATAATGTCTGCGCTCTTCAGGAATGCTTCCACCCCAGGCAGGGCATCCTGCTGCAGTTCACTAACACATCTTTCACTAACTCATCTTCCCTGTTGGTGCTGTGGTTGCTTACAGACCCTTCAGGGACATGCACTCAACTCTCCCTGACGTAATGGCACCCAAGCAGATTGATGATGAGGGCAGGATGTTTCATGATGAAGGCTCTTCCTTGCAACACCTCCAGCCACTGTCATGTTGTGTTTTGGGTAATGCCAAGACAGGATGTACAGCTGGGAGCTTGGAAGATGCTGGTTTGTGAAAGCTGTGTGGAAGAGAAGGCAGTGGGACAAGTGGTCTTTAAGGCCTCAGAAACCCAGAGCCTCTTCCCTGCTGAACTTCACAGCTTTTTGGCATAGTTTGTCCTGCCATATCAGAAATGGTCACTGTCTAGACACCTAAACCCAGGGAGAGGAGATCATGGAAAGAAGGCTACTGCTGGAACTGACCTGCCATTTGTGTTTTGTGAAGAGGAAACAGAGCCTAGGACCAGCTTTAAGGTCTCTTCCAACCCAACCCGTTCTATCAGCCTCTGATCCTACGATTCTGTGTGGCACTCAGGGACGTGGTTTAGTGGTGGACTGGGCCATGCTGGGTTAATGGTTGGAGTCGGTGACCTTAAAGGTCTTTTCCAACCTAAAAGATTCTATGATTCTAAGTTCAGGTTGGATGTAAGGAAGAAGTTCTTTACTGTGAGGGTGATGAGGCGCTGGCACAGGGTGCTGGCCATTAAAGACAAGGCCTTTTCATTGCATTGCAGTTCAGTTTTTTCAGCTGCTCTGATTTCACATATTGTTCTGTTAGAGTAGGAAAAAATACTGGAGGAGAAGGTTAAAATAATGGTTTTATTCTGAGTAGGATGCATGATTAAGAACCACTCCATCCTACAAATCACAACGATGGCTGAAACAATGCTGAACAGGCTGAGGAATAACATTTTGTAGCTGTCAAACACCAGAAGCTGTTGGTATCATTCTTAGAAGTACTTTCAAATCTCACTTGCCTGCAGAGACTTGCATCCCTCTGGAATTCAGAGGTCTAATAGGAAACCATTGCTCAGACTTCATTAAGGTATAGACTAGTTGTGTTTCCATATATGAATTTGGAGTCCATGTAGCCCAGGGAAAAATAAAACGAGGAAAGAAAAATGGCATTTTAACAGCCACCTTGTCCCTATCAGTGGGCAGCAGACCAGGATAAGTGATTAAAATGCCACTGGATGGTCTGTGTTAGTGCAGTGACTGAATCTGGAGTTACTTCAGCAGTGGGAGCACAAATCTATGCCACAGACAACCCTAATATCTTCCCCTTAATGGCTCCATTAGGTAAGTTTTTCTCTCCATTACTATTAGAATAAAACTCAAACATTAATAATGGAGTTTAATTTATCTCACTGGCTTCTCATGACTTTGGGAAAAGATCTCAAGCGAAGATACAACAATGTGTCACACTCCTCTGAATTAACAACTCTCTGGGCTTTTCTAACAAGGGGAGAAAAGGACAGATAGAGACATGAGATTACCGACAGGATGAGAAATAAGGAGCATACAGAAGAGAGGGTGAGATAATTATAAGCAAGATAGGAAAGAAAGGGGAGTCAATAAATTCAATTTATGAAAGGCACAGAATGTGCTCAGCCTGAGCACAAGTGCCCAGACTCAGCGCCAGGAAATCGGATTAGTTAACTTATTTGCTTTGCAATATCTTGGTCTATTCCCTCTAGCAAATTTTCTTCTCCCTTTGTTTCTTGTAGGCAGTGTCAGTTAACTTTTTCATTCCTGGCTCTGCTATTTCTCCCACTTCCAACCAAGCACACAGAGAAGGTAATTTTGAGGCAGTTTCTAACAGCATCTAGCAATTATTTGGTCTGGACTTCTGGGCAATCAGTGAGTAACAATAACTACAATTACAGCTGTGACACACGGAGGATGAGCTAGAAAAGACTGATGCTCATGATGAAAAGCAATTGCTCCTGCTTGCAAATGTATCCACCATAAAAGGCTTCTCTTTCTCTGTTATCCCTAAGAGAGAAACCTCTCTGAATTCTAATCCTGAAGCATGTGTGAAAGAGAAGAATAAATATTTAGGGAACACTTTTAACTACTTGACAGGTTTGGTTGAAGATCTTCAACAAAAAAAAAGGTGTTTAAAAGGGTTCAAAAACCCAACACTCGTATTTATGCAGTTTCCTTTTCCTGCACCTTCTGAACATGAATTAATTCATCCTCATCAGAGTCTTCTGAAGGAATTTCTATCAGATACAAATTGCAGTTATAGCTTAAACACGTAATGCAATTAAGCTGATTTTTTTTCAGTTACTTGAAAGAATAATACAAATTACAAATACAATAAATTAGCATTCCAGATGATGGAAGCCACGGTGTAAATCTAGTCCACTTCGTAAGAACAGGTCATCTATCTATGATGGCTCAAACCCACCCATGGACATGTATCTTGAAACTGGATTCTGGAATACAAAAATCACACAAAAGGAAAACTTACGAAATAAATTAGACACCAGTAATCCCTTGTCATAGGAATGAATGGAATAGATTCAATTTCAAGGAAAAGAATCCAGTTCAAAAGGTCATGAAGAACTGCACAGTGTAGGGAAGAAGGGGATGAACAAGATTTTCCAGCTGGAGCCACGGCTCAAGGATGGCACCTTGACAAAGCTGGTTGGACTTCTCATGCCTGGGCATCTAAGCATGGCTCAACCATCGTTCCAAACTTAATACAAAGGGTCTGTAGCTTTCTGAAAGACAGCCTCAGGCTAGGAGAGCAGGAAAGAGTTCCATGAGCAGGGAGATGTGGGAGGCTGGAGAGTTTCTGAGGACAGGCTGAGAACACTGGAGCTGTTGAGCCTGGAGAAGAGAAGCTGCGTGGAGACCTCAGAGCAGCTTCCAGTGTCTGAAGGGGGCTACAAGGATGCTGGAGAGGGACTCTTCATCAGGGACTGGAGTGATAGGACAAGGGGTGATGGGTTCAAACTGAAGCAGGGGAAGTTCAGGTTGGAGATAAGGCAGAAGTTCTTCCCTGAGGGTGCTGAGGCGCTGGCACAGGGTGCCCAGAGAAGCTGTGGCTGCCCCATCCCTGGCAGTGTTCAAGGCTAGGTTGGACAGAGCCTTGCGTTACATGGTCTAGGATGAGGCATCCCTGCCTGTGGCAGGGGGGTTGGAACTGGATGATCTTAAGGTCCTTTCCAACCAAACCCATTCTCTGATTCTCTGATTCTATAAATGAAGGAGCTCAGGAGCATAAACAAGTGGGCAGGAGGATGTACTGACAAAGGATATATTGAAGAAAATGGCTTTGAAAGGACAGGGTGACTTTTATTTGTCATCACATGGGTCCTCTTTAAGTTTCTCACTAATGATAGCAAAATTTAATATCATAAAGTGATTTCAGAGCTGCCCAGACAGCCAGACAAATTGTCCTCATCCTGCAGTGTTCAGAGAACAACCACGCTACAGCTGGGAGCTGAATTTGTCTTGCAGACTGCCAATGCAGCCAGGCTGCCTGTGCAAAAAGGAGCTCACTGACTGTATAAACAAAGAACTAACAGTAATAGCACTGCAGAAATGTATTAACCACTGTGGGCTGAGGAACAGCTTTAGCAATGCCACGCAACCATTGTCTCCTACACAGAATCACAGAATGAGAGTGGTTTGGGTGGGAAGGGACCTTAAAGCTCACTCAGTTCCAACCCCGGCCACGGGCAGGGACACCTTCCACTAGAGCAGCTTGCTCCAAGCCCCTGTGTCCAACCTGGCCTTGAACACTGCCAGGGATGGGGCAGCCACAGCTTCTCTGGGCACCCTGTGCCAGCGCCTCAGCACCCTCACAGGGAAGAATTCCTTCTTTGTATCTTACCTAAAAAGTGTCATCAACATGAAAGAAATCAAGACTTCCAACTGGTGAGCAATCTAGTTTGAGACATCCCTTTGTCATACTTGTGCCAAGTGGCACCATGTAGTTTAATCCCAGTTTTTTTTACTGCTAAATCTGCAGATACTGGGAAAATTATGCCAACAGTGACAGCTACTCCACTACACAACAGCTTCCCAAGGGAAGAGATGGAAACCCAGCATTTAAATACATTGAACCTGGACTCCACTGAGAGTACACACACACTGGGAACACATAAGAAGGGCTAATCAGATATTCCCATAGTCTTCCTCTCTTCTTCATCCCATCATTATTTCAGCGGCAGTATCTCTAACTCACCTGTTTGGCGTGATTGACACAGTGCAGGTACTGGCTAGCCAGGGCAGAGCAGCTCAGGGTCTCCTGAGCGTGCTGTCGATAACACTGAAGGATCTTATCCTGCAGATCAGCGCAGATCGGATGAGTCTGGTATCTCCTGGGGAAAGAGAAAACAGCCTTTTGGTTCCCTCCTCAAAAGGATTTCAGGAAAGATGCAACTCTTTTAGTTGTTTTTTTAAAGAAGGGAACTAAATAGCGAAGGAAAACACTTTAGAGCAATAAAGAAAGGCTTTTTCTAGAGCCAGCTGGGTTTAAGTGGGTGAGATCTGATGCAAACATCAACATGAGCTGCAGAAGTCTCGCTATTAGGACCACAAGTGTCCTTCTGATGCAGTAGTCGGGTTCCAGCTGGCAAAGAAAATTAACATCCAACTTCATATGAGTACACACTGAAGCAATGACAAAGCACACCTGATCTCACCTGCCTTTAAGACAGTCAGAAGCACAGGACAGCTTCATTCCTCTATAGCCCTATGACTACATCATGTTGCTACTTATTAAATATGGCCCCTGTACAGAAATGAAATCACCCATTAGGCTGACCTGGAGACTACAAAAACCATGCTACCTTCAGCTAATTTCACCATCTACTTTTGCTGACCCAGTAACAGCCACTAATTCTGGTGCATCCTCCTCACCATCACCTCAATTTTAATCCTGACACCAGATGTGCAAGTTATTTAGGAATTTTGTCCATTTTCTTTATGGATTTATTACTTTTACCATCTTTTTGGCTGGTGCAGTACACTTTCTGCCTGCAACATAAGCCAAAGGAAGGGAAGCTTCTCTAGTCTACTTTGTAAAATCCAGTCTCTTTTGGACAAAGATCTTGTGATTTCCATTAATTCATAAAATGTCATCCACACTGGTAGTGCCACAGAATTAAAATGGGAATCAATACTTCCCTATCTCAAAAGGAAGGGGGGTGGTGAAGTGTTTCAGAGACAAGAAGTCAATTGAAATTTAAAGCTAACAGGACATTTACTTTATAAATACTTTTTAAGGTTCTGATTTCTGTGAGAGACACTCAAATCAGAGTTAAACCCCTCTCACATCAAAGATAAAAGATTTCAACAGTAGGAAAAAACTCCATGAAAATGTAAAGAACCATTTACAGCTCCTATGCCTTGAAAACAACCATCTTCTTTATGGGTGTGAACGACATCTTCCCATTTAGCCTACGAGGAAAGCCTGGCAGTGGCTGCTTTAACATCCAGCTCACATTATTTTTAGTTCAATAAGGTTGTACAAAGCCCTGAGACTCATCAGCCACAGCATCCTTGGATGAATATTCTGTTCCTTCCCATTTTGCTGATTGGCCAAGGCAGATCTCTGCTACAGTAAGACAGTGAAAGGCGAAGCACGATGATGTTCCTTAGGGGGACTGACTTCTTGGCAATCACTCAAGATGTAGTACTAAGGAAAAGGAATGTTAAATCACCTTGATTTTACAGCGTGTACCTATATAAAACATCCCTCTTACTCTTTTCATTCATTACCCTACGTCTGTGACTACCAGAATTCAAATGCATTCCCAGGTGCTTACACACTTTCTGATCCAACTTCTGTAGAGTCTTAGGTATGAGGATTTTCCCTTAATCCCCCCCTCTGCTGATATCAGCAAGCACTTCAAAAGAGTGTCAGGCATCAAAATGTGTGACCATAAACTGCTGCACACTGATTACGGAGGGGTCTGGATCGGGATGGAGCACGAGAGGAAGCACCACGTACGCTCTCTGTAGATGTTAAGACTCACAGCGGTGACGATTCAGGTCCAACTAAACCAGAGCTCATTTTAAATGCCTGAGAGCCTGGTCTGGATTGATAAACCAATAGAATAGACCATGAGTTAACAAAAAATACACTTGGAACATCTAGCTGTGCCTTTATTCACAAGCCATTTTAAAGTGACTTCTTCTATAAACGTGAAGGGGGAAGGAAATGGGCTGCTGGACACTTTGCTATATAAACTCAGTAAATGTATTTGAAGCCATTTCAAGAGGGGTACTCAAACCCACATTAAGGAGCTGTTTTGATTGCTTTATTCCCTGAACCATGCCATTAGTGACAGTTCCAAGTCCACGTATTATTCTTTATTTGAATGCTTCAATGGACTCTTTATGCTGCCAACCATACCGGCTCCCTATAAGACACATCATCTCCTGCCTCACAGTTACTTGTTCTCATACTATGACTTTTTAGATGTGATTTTTTAAGACATGCTCTCAGCTCATTGCCTGTCCTTCCAGGCACTGCAGGCCCAATGCAGGTCAATGCAAACAGGGCCACTTCCTTCAAGTCAACAAAGTCCATTTTCTTGGATTAAGCTGTTGAAGGAGAGCACCGTTTCCATATCGATCTGCTGTGCTTGTTACGTTACCCTAATGCACTATTTGCACTTTTGGGAAAACACTAAATGAGATTAGTGTCTAACATTAGATGGCCATAAACCACACGCTGCAGGATCTCCCATTCAGGAAAGAAGGTTGCATCGTGCATTATGGTAACCCCACCAAAGGGTCTGTGATTGATTTCTCTTTGGTGGTGAATGACAGGACTCTCAGATGGATGGTCAGAAACTGCCAACAGCAAGGAAACTCCTCAAAAGGGAAATGAAATACCGACCTAACAGAGAACTTCCCTGAAGTTCCTATAAATAAGGGTCATTTTACAGCATTATTTAAAGAAAAACCTTGTAAGTCAACAGCGCAAAACCAGTAATTATCACAGAATCATAGATTCATTATATAGAATCTATAGTGAAAACATGAAGTTTTAAATACCTGAATGGATAAAGCAACCTGGTCTGCTCCCGGAGCTGACCCTGCTTCAACCAGGACATCCCCTCCCTGAACTATCCCACGTCCTGAGAGAGAGACCTGTGGTTTTGGGATATATGGCAGGGAAATTGTCCCCCAGTTCTATGTATTTATTCTCTTAGGAATTTCACAACTAAACCGAAGGTCAAATACACACCTAGGAGTGAACCAGGGAACCCTGCCACGCCTCCATCTCCAGTGCAACTCAATGACTACCTTACAGAATGAACGCACGTGAAAGCTCAAATGCCTTTCTTGGCTGAAGCCAATATGAACTGTGGTCTGATGTGCACCCTGCACCACACGGCACGCTGATAACAATGGGGTTTTCTTATGTTTACTTGATCTGCTTTCCCCTTTTCCAGCTGCTCCTCAAGCACCTCGCATGCCGGCAGAGTATTTGTGTGCGCTAGAAGAAAACCTCCGAGGAGCAGCACCCCCACCTCTTCCATCAAGCTGATGCACCGCAACCTCATCAAGGTAAGAAGATGAAGACACAAAAGAGAATGAGAGAGTGTTTTAAAGAGAAATATTCTATGCTAAAACACGAAGGGAAACTTTAATGAAGGGAACTTTGTACTCATGTAGCCTCTCTCAAAGAGCATAGCTTATTGTACTCCTGGGGGCTCCGAGAAAGAAGCCCCTTCATGGCATTCAAACAAAACGTCTACTAAAGAGGAAAAGGGAAATCACCATGGTAAGCTGTACAAGCTTTGTGATAAAACTGACATTGTGACTGAAGGAATCTGAATCGCTGATGAGCTTCCAACTGTGCAGGTATCTGGCATAATCCCACCAGATCGGGACTTGAGGCAATTGTCACTTAATACGGGGGGAGATAAAATAGCATGCAAGGCAAAGAAAAACAACAGTGCCATTAGATGGCCAGAAGTAGCCAGGGCTTCATTTTATTCCTCATTAAAATGCTGACACCTATCAAAAGCATCTGGTTTTATTTGTGTGACCTTTGGCGTCTGAGGCTACTTCTGTGCTACTAAATAAAACACAGCAGAGATAATCCTCTGGGTCCAGCACAACCTGCATCCCTCCAGCATGAAATCTTGCTTTCCCTTCCAAACAAGCAGCTCAGCACATCCAAATCCAACCAGCAAACTGGGGATAGTCCCCAGCATGTGCTGGAAAGCCTTAGCTCCAAAACAAACCCCTATAAATGAACGTGATACCAATGACACCCAATGCACCAGCACAGGAGGGTGCTGGAGCTGATGTCTTGACCTGTTTTATTTACTCCTCCTGATGTGATCAGATTCCAACTGCACTAGGGAGCGTGCAAAGCAAAACAAAGAAAAGAGGATGATTCTGATCTCAACGGGCTTATAATGCACACAAAGATAAGAAACAACACATTGAGGCCAACAGATGGTGAAACAAAAGGAAACTGAGGCAATCTGCACCATCACAAAACAGACAAGAGGAAAAGGCCTCAAGTTGTGCCAGGGGAAGCTTAGATGGGGAATTGGGAAAAAAATGTATTCACCAAAAGGGTTGTCAAGCATTGGAAAAGGCTGTCCAGGGAAGTGGTGGAGTCAGCATCCCTGGAGGGCTTTCAAAGATGTGTAGATGAGGCCGTTAGTGACATGGCTTAGTGGTGGACTTGGCGCTGCTGGATTAATGGTTGCACTTGATGGTATAAAGATCTTTTCCAACCTAAACAATTCTATGATAGGCAGCCCACCAAGTATAACAACAGCCTAGTTGTTTTCAAGTGTTTGTGAGCAGCCAAGAGGAGTTTTAGAGGCTTTTGTGGGCAGCGAATCGATGAATGTTGTCTATGTCTAGCAGAAATTCCTTCTGAGAGACACTGAAACGTGGTGCTTGTTTGAATAGTGGATGAGTGAGAGATAGAAGGGGGCAGCACGCACGGGTCAGAGAGAAAATAAACAGCGAATTGGAAGCAGCATGGAAGCACAAATGGGACATATGTGGCTTCGAAAGTGAAGACGTGTGACTTGCACGGGATCACAATGATGGGGAAGCCAGTGGCAGGATGAAAGGAGATGATGTGAATCCAGGGTAGGAAACAGCACTGCTTTCAACAGGTATCATCAGGGCAAGATTTCAAAGCGAAAATGAATGTTGCAGTAACTGGTAGCCTGAGTAGTGATGGATTTAGCTAAGCAGATGGACAAGAAAGGCTGTGTCTGAGATACTTTACATAGAGTCAGCAAGAGCAAAACATAAGCCTAGCTGAGAAGACCTCAAGAGAAGGTCAGCTCAAAGATGAAGCGTAAGCAACAAGTCTGGAGCAGCAGCAAGA